TTCCTCGCACACCTTGAAGCAGTAGAACATCTGCTGCACATCCGCTGTAACTGCTATAGGTTCTCTGCGGAAGCGGATCAGAACCCCAAGGAGAGTGTTGTTCAAGTCGGGTCCACTCAGGAGCACATCATTGAGGGAAACCCCTTCATGTTTGGCACTTGAATCGAACACTACCCTTATCTGGTCAGGTTTTTGTGGGTGGTAAACCCCAAATATTGGTAGATACCACCTTTCCTCACCTTCTTTAATGGAGGGGCCGGCTCTGCTTGCTTTTCAACAAACATTCTTTGCATGAAATCGATGAAGTGTTTCCTCATTTGTGGTTTTTTCTCCAGAGTTCTCCGAAGAGATGCAAGACGCTTTAAAGCTTGAGGTCTGTTATTGGGAAGGTGGTTTCGTGGTGACCGAAAGGGTAATGGGGAAACCCAAGTATTGTAACTGTCTTTATAGACTTGTTCATCTAATGTCTTCAAGAAACTCTCATCATCGATTGACATTGCCGGGACGTCATCATGTTGTGTCCTTTGAAACACCTGACTGGCAAACTCACTTTCCTTACTTTTCAAGTGTTGTGCAGAGCTTTGAAGACTTAGGTTCGAGGTGTGACAACCAAGCTTTTCTTTGACTAGCATATTGTTTGGACATGCACTCAAGAGTGAAGCTCGTCCATTTGGTAGAATGTTGGTCTTGTATACACAGATGTTGGATGTCTTATGCACTTCTCCCAGACACACTTCCCCTACGATCACCCAACCAAGGTCGAGTCGTTGAGCATATGGTTCATTATGGAGACCATTATGTTGTTCTCTGACTTTGTGCACACGCAGAATGTCTCTGCCAAGGAGAAGGAGGATGTCAGCTTCTGGATCAATTTCTGGGATTTTTCCCTTGATTGCCTTCAGATGTGGGTAGAAATGAGTGACTTCTGGGGATGGGATTTCCGTCCTATCATCAGGTATCATATCACACTCAATAAGAGTAGGCAGGGGAAGCTGTGTGGTGCCATCAAGGGACTCCAAAATGAAGTCACGGGCTCGTCTCCCTGCTATCTCCACAACACCTGAGCATGTTTTCAGTGTATACGGCTCAAGCTGTCCTTCAATGTTGAAGATGTCAAAAAAGTATGTTTTAGCCAAGGAGCGATTGCTTTGTTCGTCTAGAACAGCATACATCTTGACAGCTTTCTCTGGTTGTCCAGCAGGATACACTCTGACCAAACATATCTTAGAGCATGACCTTGAACCAACTGAGTCTCCGCATACTTCTGTGCTTTTTGATGTCACGTCAGCCACACTTGCTTCTCCTTCTCTTTCTTCCCCGCCATACCCTTCACTAGCCACCAGGCTCTCTGCATTTTGAGGACGAGGATTGGGGTGTAGTGCGGTGATATGTCTTTCACTACCACAATCTGTGCACTGCACTGATTTAGGACAATCTTTGGCCATGTGCTGCACAGAAGAACAACACTTGAAACAAATGTTCTTGTCCTTTAAGTATGCCTTTCTTTCTTCCAGGGTCTTACTTTTGAAAAGACGGCATTTTCTGAGAGGGTGAGGCTTGCAGTGTAATGGACACTGTTTATCGGGGTCCAAGTTGTTCTTGCCTGTAGGAACGTTTGGGCTGGCTGCCAGATTACTTGCTATCTCCGTCCTCTTAGCAGAGACATGTGAACGATACTTCTGTTGTGTCATTGTCTCGATTCTAGGATTGTTGGCGTTGGCACCGGTTACACACGAAAAACTCGGGTCATTACGAATTTTAGCTTCTTCGTTCACAAGTTTCACAAAAAAGGAAAATGGAGGATAAGACACTGCATTCTCTCTCTTGAACCTCGAGGCAGCTGCAACCCACTTCTCCTGAAGGTTGTATGGGAGTTTTTCCAGAATCGGATTCACCCCGTGGGCTGTATCAAGGTGTGAAAGGCCTGGGAGATGACCGCTTGTCTTTGCAGCATGAAGTTCTAGCAGAAGATCCCCCAACTCTCTCAAACGCTGGTTGTCTCTGTTCGTCAGCTTCGGTAAATCCTGGATTTTCTTTAAAAGTGCATGTTCAATGACTTCTGGTGCGCCAAAACACTCTTCGAGTCTCTGCCACACCATCTGAAGACCTGCAGTGGGATTGTTTATGTACGCAGCCCTGACTCGCTTGGCTTGTGCTGCTGATTGTGGCCCGAGCCATTTGGATAGCAGGTCTAGCTCTTCTTGAGGTGTTACACCCAGATCTTGAATTGAACTTAGAAAGGAAGCCTTCCAAGCCCAGTAATTTTCTGGTCGATCATCAAACCTCAGCAGGCCTGAGCTGATCATCTCTTTCCGTATCAGGTATCTCGTTAGATCAGACGTGTCAGCATGACTACTCCTTACAGGTGTGGGTGTCCATACCTTAGACTGAGGATGGTGATATCGATCATAGTTTGCTGGCTCGCCTCCATAGCTCCAGTTGCAAGATTCTCTCTTTGGGCTCAAAGCACGGAAGACTGGCAAAGGTGTGAATTCTTGGTTGTTGCTCCTACTGGGCTGATGGATACTTGGTTTCTTGTGAGCTTTTGGTGTTGCATCGATGACCGTGGCTGGCTGTGGCACCAGAGAAGATAGGAGTTCTGGATGATTAACTTGTGGAGTCTGCAGATCGTCGCCGAGTTCTGACTGTTGCTGCACATACTCTTGGACTCGTTCTAATGGGCTGATTTGCTGCATGCCGTCCAGCTGGGGCTGTTGTGGGTGCTCACTCTCTTGCGCAGATGCTTCCCAAGCTTGAGCCTCAGCTAGGGCTGCTGCAGCTGCCTTCTGCGATTTGAGTACGTGTAGCTCTGCATCCAGATCTGCTTTCTTTTTAAGCTGCTCGGCCTGTTGTTTTAGGATGCTGGCTTCCTGCTTAGCAAAGGAGAGCTGAGCACGGGCAGCTTCTGCTTTTGCTCGTGCTCTGGCGGCAGCAGTAGATGATGATGTAAGCTGGCTGGAACGTAAAGAACTGGACACTTTTGACCTTGTTTCCAGCGTCTCATCCATCCTTTCTTTTAGAGAACTATCTGGCTGATGAGAATGATGCTTTTTTACTATTCTGCCCTCCCTGTACGTTGATGCCCAGTTTGGCAGATAGATAAACAGTGCCTTCATTAGGGAGACAAATAAACCCTGCAATGAGAACTGGAAGCCTTTGCCTCTCCTTTTGAAGAACTGTTTATCTATCTTATGTTTATGTTATAAAAATCACTTAATAATGAATGACAGTGGGTGTTTTAGGGTCACATGCTCCATAAATCACGAGCTTATTGTTGTGAACGACTTTGTGCACCCGCATGATCCCAGGAGGGTAACTCACCCCTGGTTGGGTCTCCTAAGGAGGTCTTTCATGGGAGAGCGCCTGAGAGCCGGGATCTTAGCCATTGAGGCACAGCTGTGGACAGCCCACCTCTTGTGGGAGGGGCCGTAGGGGTTCAGTGCTTTGTGAATCGCGTGGTGTATGTCTTCAGCTGTCTGGAACGTCACCGCTCTGCTGGGGAAGCAGCTCAAACGAGCGCTTCAGCCTGAAAAGTATCAGCTAGTTCTAGTTAGGTCTTAAACTCTCACAGTAAGCACACTGGGCCTCTGTCTCTGCAGCTGTTCTGGGTCTACGTCCAGGCCATGCTCACCAACCTGGACACCATGACACTGGAACGCATACACACCATGCTGCGGATGTTCGTCGCTACGGGACCCGTCGTCACGGAGATGGACGTGAACGAGCTGGAGGCGTTCCTGCAGAGGAAGGTCAGGGACCATCAGCTCATAATGTCCGGCAACGTCTACAGGCTGCCCAAATCCAACTGATGACTGTGCTGCGTTCAAGTGCGTCGGAATATGTGGAAGATTCCAGCGTTTGTTTTGCTCTGAGGGATTTTTACTAAAAGGGCTCATGGAGTAAATATGGAACAATTCTAACTTAAATTTCCTGGATTTTTCCATATGATGTGAAAGCAGCATGGATTTAAATAAAAAAAGGAAAAGCAGTGTTTGTTTTTTCAAAATAAAAGCACTTCCACTCCTTTAAGCATCAGTACGGACAGATTTGATGCTGCACCTGGAGATAACTGTAAAGGTGTTTGGTGAACACCGATGTGTAAAACTGGTTAATAAACAGAATCATTTCAAAACCACTTTCATCTGTGCCTTTTTCTAACAGCTGCAGTTCTTCCCAAAGTATAGAGCAAACATTTCAGCCTCTCCTGGTTCTCTCTGTGAGATGAAAACCACGGGCGGAAGGGCCTGCAGCTGCAACAGTGGGAACACACTCTTTGACAACAAAGAAACACCAACAGCTGCAGTTCCTCTAATGTCCAGCAGAGACTCCAGGAGCGAGTCAGTCCCCATGTTAAAGCTTTACAGCAGTAATAAAAGTGTCTGACACAAACTGATCTCTGTAGAGAATTTCCCCTTCATAATCGATTGTCCCAAAAATCAGAACAGAATTGGGGAAAAGGGCTTTTAAACACGCTGCCCCGGCTTCCTGGAACAATCTGCAGAAGGAACTGAAATGATCTGACTTGGTTACCTTGGGAGAGTTTAAGTCTGTCTCAAAGGAACGAGAGAACAGCTCTTTGACTCAGTGTGATTGTTTTTAAATGTACTCTTAATTTGATCTGTTATTGTATATTTTCCACATGGTATGGGGATATTGTATTGGTTGTAAATGTTATAGTGCTGTGTGTATTTGATGATGCCAGGTCTCTGTTGGAAATGAGATTTTTTTTACCTGGGTAAATAAAGGACTAATAAAAAATAACACCTGTACAGGGAGGATGTTTTTATAACTCACCTGTTTAAAGTTTGCATTATTAGGGGCGTGGCACAGGTGACTGTCTGCTCCGCCTCACCTGAGCTGGACCTCTGAGCCGTGTTTGTACTGTTGGAGCCTTTTGGGGCATTTTAATGACATCACCTAACCAAAAACATGGCTGCTGTGAGGTCACTCTACTAAAGGTAAGTGAAATTCTAGGATTTCATTGCATACAGTCTCATCACTGCACAAAGAATCACTGAATTTATTGCTTTTATTGTATTTGGACACATTTGCTTGGCATCAGATTTACATTAAAACATGTTTTGGGATTACTGGCCTCATTCAGACTGAAATAAGGCATGCAGACAGTTTGTACTCATCACACACGTTAATGTCACAATTGAACAAACAGCTCCCTTTCACTGGTTAAATACATGTTCTGTATTAAGAAAAAATCTAAACAGTGGTTTAAGACCAAAGTTAAAGGACCATGCTGGTGTTTGTTTTTGCATGTTTTAGTTCACTGCAAATACAGATGTAGAGTTTCTCAGTGTTACTCCCTTTTTTCCACTAACATGAGAACTGGCGACTAAAGACGTGGAGCGTGATATGGCTTTCATCTTCCACGTGTCACAGAAGGTAACAGAACAAAATAGAAACAAATCCCTGCAGTTTTATCTTCAGTGAAACCTACACAACTAGAACCTGTCATTGTGAAAGGTCGCAAGGTCATTATTTTCCCACTTTCAAAACCTCTGCTGATGAGCCAACCGGAGAAAAACTGACCTAACAGGGGAGAAGCTATCGGCTTGTTTCAGACAGGATGGAGCCTGTCTGAAACAAGCCTACCACGAGATAAGTGAGTAATCATGCAAAGCCGCTTTAATCCAAAAACATGGAGGGAACGAGCAGAATCGGAGCACTTTAACATAAAAACTGATTCTCCCTAAAGCGCTGTGCAGCTGTGGTGGGAGCACAGACTCGACATGTGACCAAATCTCCGGGTTTTCCACCAATCAGGACGCATTATTGACTGACGCAGTGCCCAATCAAACACGTTTCATGCCAAAAAGGTGGACGGTGTTTGAATGGTCACCACAGAGGTCCCCGGCTCTAGAGCTCAAGCATCGGGGCCATGTTGGTGGAAAGTTCTTTGGCTACATGTGACCATGAACTGACTTCTGTCTTTGGAGAGATGAGTAAAAAAGAATCAGTTTTAATGATGAAACCAGGTTTGTTTCCTGCCGATTGAAGTGTTTGAAAATTGTAAAAGCCGGGATAGAAGCTTCATTTTTGTGGTGTAACTTGAATGAGAGTTTTACAGGTGCTGATTAAGCTGATGATCACACACCTCCTCATAAACCAGTGCAGCTCAGACTGAAACGAGTCATTTAAGGCGAGCTCAGGAATCCACTCGTTTGAATAAACGTGACAGAAATGTTTCTTCTGGTTAGCATCCACAAACCAACCTGCACATTAGTCGCTCTTTAGCTTCAGTCCAACACACGACACGCTGCAGTCTGGTTAGAAGAAAAAAAGCATAAACACCAGAATGATCCTTTAGGTCATGTGACCTCCTGGCTGCTACTTGCATTCAGTGCTGGCAGACTGTAGACCCTCAGGCACAGCGAGAGCTACAGCCTGCTGTGCTGTAGCTCCACACATTCATATCTGCCGTGAGAGACGGCCTCGAAGGCGCCGAGTTCAGTCTCAGCTGAATGCTGTGGGCAGAAGCGGCGTCTCAGCAGCATTTCTTCCCCCTCTTCCTGCGGTCTCGGTCTCGCTGGGCGTTGATGTTCACCGTGTCCTTCTCCCGCTCCCGCTCCCTCTCCACTCTGTTCTGGCTCTCCTTCTTGGCCCGGAGCACCATGAGGGTGAACGCCATGAACATCTGAGCAGAGCAGCAGAAACAACACAGACTTCAGGATTATCTATCGCGGCCCCGTGTCCCACTCCCCGACCCTCAAACGGCAGCGACACCGTGCACGAAACTGTTCGTGTCACTGAAGACATTTTAAAAATAATAAAGCAAATACTCATGGATAGTAACAACAGGAAGCACAGTCACATCTGATCCTGCCTTTACTTTAGTCTCCGTTATTAAAACAGTCTGAGCGTTCCATGGTGAATATATCTGAGATCAGTCACAGGGTCCCTGCTGGTGGTTTACCAGCATTTTTATCAGCGGGATTGAGGACGAACCGCAATCTCTGCTGTTACCACAGTCTCCGTCTTTCAGCTCAAATCGAGGCTAAACAGACCCCTCCTCCTCATCGCTACCCTCTGCAGTGTAATAATGAGATGATGAGGTGCATCTTCATCTGCAGGCCTGGACCATCCAGTATGAAGGAAACCACTGCATTCAACCTGAAGCCCCATCATTATGAGACACTTCTGCGTCACTGGGCCTGGATGACAGCAGTGAAAGGACACTGCCCCCCTCAGGTCACACTGAGAACTACGACCCCACGCTCTAATTTACCTGCCTGTCATTTCAATACCAACCTTACAGACAAAACATTAGGAACAAAGGCTTTCGACCTTGTAATGGGACAAACTGCACACCAAAAAAATCTTTTTAAATCAGGATGTTAATCATTTAAAGCTTCACCTCTTCAACATTTATGTTCTCTTTGGCACTCGTCTCGAAGACACGGACACCCACCGACTCCCCAAAACGCAAAGCATCCTGGGTATCCACCTGCCTCTTGGAAGGGTCGTCATTCTTGTTCCCCACTGAGGAAAGAAGGAAAATCCATCTGTAAACGCTTCCTGCAGACGTCCCCAACCAGGGTGAAACTCAAATGCATCATAAAAAAAGATATTAATAACTGATGCTGCAGGTCTGAAATGAACCAAAGCATCTCTAAGTGTCAACCCTGATTCACCTCCCCAGAGTCAGACCTGCACAATAACCTTCCTGTTTAAAATTACCAGTAAAACTTCACGTTTACTGAACCTGAGAAATCATCTGATAACAACAGTTTGTCTTAAACACAGTAGATCTACAAAAGTGTTTATGACGACTCAGCGGGACGGCACGTCTCACCATCAGGAAGTTTATAAACTGTTGGTGAGGGGAAAGAGGCTCTCCTCACCAGAGATCTGCCTGCATGATATCATAATAGATAAAATATTCGACCAGTGTTCAAGCTGACTGCATGTGGACTTTAAAACATATCCAAACTCAATTTTCCAAGTCTGGACATTAAAGTGGATAATGGAGCTGAATGAATGCAGCTGCATCTTTAACAAACCGTACGTCACCTGGAAGCAGACGGAGCCTCTCAGCAGCTTTCGGCACACCTGTGAGCAGGTCAGAGTTCACACTGAAACACTGATATTCAGGATGAGTTTAGGGTCGACCTACCCAGGATCTTGCAGACGTTGTCACAGTTCTGGGAGATTTCATTCAGCCACCTCTTAACATTTACGAACGACTCTGGATTTGTCACGTCGTAAACTATGATGACGCCGTGGGTGTTTCTGTAGTACCTGGGGACAGGTGAAGCGGAATAAACTGATGACCTCAACGATGACGCTGCAGCGGGCTGCACGCAGTCATACAAAGAAACTCGGGGGAGAAAGTTTCAGAGATCATTACGTCGAGGTGATGGTTCGAAACCTCTCCTGCCCCGCCGTGTCCCAGATCTGCAGCTTCACCCGCTCCCCGTCGATATCCACCGTCCGGATCTTAAAGTCCACGCCGATGGTGGTGATGTAGCTGCCTGCACGAGACCACACGAGAAAAAATAAAAGCCAGAGTGAGGCAGACGTGCTGCACAGCAAGGCGAGTGCAGACGCACTGCGTGTGCGTGTGTGTGTGTGTGTGTGGCGGTGTGTGGTGTGTGTGCGTGTGTGTAACTGCGTGTGTGTGCGTAACTGCGTGTGTGTAACTGCGTGTGTGTAACTGCGTGTGTGCGTGTGTGCGTAACTGCGTGTGTAACTGCGTGTGTGTGCGTGTGTGTGCGTGTGTGCGCGTGCGTGTGCGCGTGCGTGTGTAACTGCGTGCGCGTGTGTGTAACTGCGCGCGTGTGTGCGCGTGTAACTGCGTGTGTGCGTGTGTGGTAACTGCGTGCGCGTGTGTGTAACTGCGTGTGTGTGCGCGTGTAACTGCGTGTGTGCGTGTGTGTGTAACTGCGTGTGCGTGTGTGTGTAACTGCGTGTGTGTAACTGCGTGTGTGTAACTGCGCGTGCGTGCGCGTGCGTGCGTAACTGCGCGCGTGCGTAACTGCGCGCGTGCGTAACTGCGCGTGTGTGCGTGTGTGTGCGTGTGTGTAACTGCGTGCGTGTGTAACTGCGTGCGTGTGTAACTGCGTGCGTGTGCGCGCGTGCGTAACTGCGTGTGTGCGTAACTGCGTGTGCGTGCGCGCGTGCGTAACTGCGTGTGTGCGTAACTGCGTGTGCGCGTAACTGCGTGCGTGTGCGCGTAACTGCGTGTGCGTGCGCGTAACTGCGTGCGCGTGTAACTGCGTGCGTGTGTAACTGCGTGCGTGTGCGCGCGTGCGTAACTGCGTGCGTGTGTAACTGCGTGCGTGTGTAACTGCGTGCGTGTGTAACTGCGTAACTGCGTGTGTGCGTAACTGCGTGTGTGCGTGTGCGTGTGTAACTGCGTGTGTGTGCGTGCGTGCGCGTGCGCGCGCGTGTGTGTGCGCGCGTGTGTGCGCGCGCGTGTGTAACTGCGTGTGTGTGCGCCGGCGCGTGTGTGCGTGTGTGTGTAACTGCGTGTGTGTGCGTAACTGCGAGTGTGTGCGTAACTGCGTGTGTGTAACTGCGTGTGTGTGCGTAACTGCGTGTGTGTGTGTGCGCGTGTGTGCATGTAACTGCGTGTGTGTGTGCATGTGTGTGCGCGTGTGTGCGCGTGTGTGCGCGCGTGTGTGCAACTGCGTGTGTGTAACTGCGTGCGTGTAACTGCGTGCGTGTGCGTGTGTGTGTAACTGCGTGCGTGTGTAACTGTGCGTGTGTGTGCGTGTGTGTGTAACTGCGAGTGTGTGCGTGTGTGTGTAACTGCGTGTGTGTGCGTGTGTGTGTAACTGCGTGTGTGCAACTGCGTGCGTGTGTGTAACTGCGTGTGTGTGTGTGCGTGTGTGTGTAACTACGTGTGTGTGTGTGCGTGTGTGTGTGTGCGTGTGTGTGTGCGTGTAACTGCGTGTGTGTGTAACTGCGTGCGCGTAACTGCGTGCGCGTGCGTAACTGCGTGTGTGTAACTGCGTGTGTGTGCGTAACTGCGTGTGTGTGCGTAACTGCGTGTGTGTGTGTGTGTGTCCTGCTGTTGCATCTGCAGGCCCTTGTTAACCCCCCCTCCCCCCTCACGCACCAACTCCACCACTTCAGATGTTTTGGCGTCCTGTCAGGAGCGCCTGGCCCACTTCCACTCGCCCCACCCGTTTACATCCTCTCCCCGCCTTCGAGAACTATATTTGATTCCCGCTGAGCGGCTGAGACACGGAGCGCCATTCCAGCCGTATGTGGGAAAAACTCTGCTAGAAACCCTCGATATTTCCCCACAGACTGCAGAAACGTGGCCGAGGCTCCAAAACGGTTTCTCAGACGGGATCGCAGCTGGCCGTCACTCTGACCATCTGTGGCCGCAGCTACAGCCCACTGAACCACCACCACTCCAGCTTACATGTTTGTGATTCCAGCAAGAAAAAACCGAGCCGTGTTTCTGGCTCCGTCCTCCAGCTGTCGTGAGAACTTTTGGTCTGTCATGTCAGGACCAGACAAACCGTCCAGTGACACGCTTTAATCGACCGTGAGATGCGTGTTCCATTCGGTAAACAAGCCTGAGTGTGAATGCTGCTGGTAGCGCTTCATCACTAATGACACATTCAACGACCACGTTTCTCCAACACCTGAGCTTCCTGTTATGAAACGATCAGCAAATAAAAAAAACTGCAAATAAACTTTGGACTGTTGCTGCCTGACACAGTCGCTTCCTCTGCTGGGATCCAACTCGTCTTTACAGCATCATCACTTTGAGATTTGGCGCACGACAGACATCTTACTCTAGTTTCGCGTCGGCTTTCAGTTCAGCAACTTTCTGCTTCTGTTCCACATCCGTGGCTGTGTACCCACGCCACAGAGTGGATTCAAAACGCCGACACAGGTTATTAATATTCCTAAAGGAGGGCAGTTATTGTTTGACACTTGGGTGCGAGCACACGAGACCGTTCAGAGGAAATGGATGAAGCATTTAAACGTTTGATGATATAGACCTGCCTCTCCTGCAGCTCCTGACGTGTTAGGACAGCTCTTATGACTCCTGGAGATAAGATGACTCCTCCTGATAAAATGCTTTTAATTCTCGGCCTATAACTGGAGTCTGCTGTGTGTTTAGTGTGAGCAGGTATCACCTTTCATGTAACCAACTCACCTGAGAAGGAGTTATCTGCGAAGCGGAGCAGGAGGCTGCTTTTTCCCACATCTAAAGGGGGGAAAAGATCAGAGGGACGAGATTAATATCTGTTTGAGTAAAGCCTACTATGACCCCCACTGTAACTTTAGTGACAGCCACATACCAGCAAAACACACAGACGGGAGGAGGTGAGATAAGGAAAGTGAAACAACACAAAATAGGACAAAGGTTGAACTCGCACTGGACATGTGTGAGAAAAGCATCTGAAGAAAACCTGACAGAGGAGAGCCGACGAAGCAGGAAGACGTCGGGCTAAACGGAGAAATCGATGGGAAAGTTACAGTTTTCTCAGAGCATTAAAGTGTTAGAGACTACACGCCTGTAAAAACAAGTCCTGCATCTGCTTTGCAGGCTGGATGTTTGCAGCTGACACTTGTGCTGTCTATCAAAATCAGATTCCAGAAGCTGGAGAAAAAAAAAGAAGAAAAATCACTGCTTGGTTCAATCATTTAAGCGGTTTTCCAAAACAAGACTGGACTAGACTCGTTCAGCAGGCTCGGAGATGGAGCTCGTTTATCAGGAACTAAAACCTCTGCCTGCTACGCCTCAAACAGATGGACGATAAACGTGACAGCATTACTCCTCACAGAAACAGCTCTGCCAACGAAAGGCACGAGAACTATGTCGAGCTGAAAACTGGAAACTCGCAGCAGCTTCCTGAAACCGTCTTTCCATCCAGGCACGCGTCTCATGTGCAGCGATGAAATCCACCCACTGCTCTAAAATAAGTTCCTGCAGGGAAGAAGGTGACCGACAGTGACTCAGCACCTCCTGCAGGAGGCCTGACACCAAAAGCCCTGAAACTACAACATTCGATCAATAACTGGAGCCTGCTCTCTCCAAAGCAGAGGACCAGGTCCGTTTGTTTTATGGAGTCATCTTTGTTTTACTACGAGCTTGGAGAGAGTTTGTTTTCTTGTTCTCGTGCTGAGAAAGTGACATTAAACGAGTTTTCCTGGGAACGCACTCCCAGCACAAAACCAGGCTCTGCTGAGGCCCGCGGTGCTGGCATCCCAACATGCTTTGCAGTGTCTGAACTCGGACTTTGTGCTTTCAAACAACATCTGGATTCATGAAATGTTAAAGTTTAATTATCATTATTTTTATTTAGGTACTCAGTCACTCTTACTGGTTTGAGATATATCACACCACCCCAGTCCTGGACTCTTTATTTTATCGATGACCTTTTAAACTAAAAGCTGTGCTCCGCCCCTCATGGGGCCTAATCTGCAGCCAAAACACAGAAACATTCACACATGCATCAGACACGCCCACTACAGCCGAGTCCGATACCCGAGCTGTGACGTCTTACACACATCTATCTACGTTTCATATCTGAGACATTGGAGCACATTAGGAGATAAGGAAGACAAACAACATCACAAAAACAGTGAAAGACCTCCTGTGGAACATGATCCCCGACTGCTCTGTTTCACAGTTTTTTCTGCTCTTGGATCTGTATGATGTCATAAAGAGGTGATCTCTCTAATCTGAAAAGCTCCACCCACCCAAAGCTCAAACCGGGCAGCCAATCACAAGAAAACTGATTTTAAAGGGGGCGGGGTTTAAACAGCTTGTTTCAGTCAGAGGACAAACTGAAGGCCCGCAGCAAGGCTCAGTATGATTTAAGGGGGGATTATTTTGAACTGTGAATCATGCAAAGCTGCTTTAGTTGCGTCGAGAAATAAAATTATGGCGCTATAAATAAATAAATGTTTAGTCCTTAATCCAGCCTTGCATCTGGGCTGGCATGAGCTCAGGATTAATCTCTATGAACTGTGCATAATATATTAGAAAACAAAGATGAATTTTAACTTTAAATCACATAAAGCTACTCTAACTGCAAGGATAAGCACATGGAGCTGGGAATGAGTACAGGTCCTCTTTAAAGCAAGTCTATAAAAGCAGGCAGTAAGAAGGCAGTGAGTCTGTGAGGGGTCCCGAGGGCTACAACGCCAACACCTTTGAGATTCATGCAGTCAAGCTTCTTTCACATACAGGTGAAAACCAGACCAGGTGATTGGCAAAAATCAGCTAAAACCAATTCTGAAACAAACTGGAAGCCAGGACAGGGATGGTGCGATTTCGACCAGTAAGACCTCCCCAGTTCATCAGTATGGAAACGTTCCTATTAATAGGTTTATTATGGTTCTACTGGCCCACAGAGACAGCAGCCTAAATGTACTGGAATTGTCTGTTCACACATCTGTTTCTTGCAGGGCTCCATTAAAAAAAGAAAAGCTTTGACTGCAGAGAGATGTAAACAAGTTAAAATGTACTAACTGGAGTCTCCAATGATGAGCAGCTTAAAGAGATGATTGTAGTCCTTCCCTGCCATTTGGATGGCCTTGTTTTGGATTTCCAAGTAAAACCAGTTTCATAGGAGGAAGGTGAGCTTCCTTCCCTCCAAGTGCACATGCGGCACTCGCCTTGTTCCGCCTCCAAACGCTGACCACCTCAAGAGTTTGTCCAGAAATCACAGGTTCGCTTCCCCTTTGGGTGTGAGGACATTTCCAGTTACACTCTAGTTTCAGTTCTGATGTTCACATCGTTTTAAAAGCGAAACCGCAGCAGCCGGCAGAGTAGGTGGCACTTCTCGAGAGCTCTGCATTTATGATTCACGCTTGACGGCGAGGGCCGGCACAGTGGTTCCACCTTACTTCCAGTTCCACCCAGCGACACTCCTGTGGGGGATTTCCAACAACTCCTCCACAGTTGTGTCAGTGCAGCTCCAGCACTCCTCTGGATGCTCAGTCTTCACATGTACGGCTCCAGGATGGGCACATTTGGCATTTTGTGGTAGTGCTGATCATAAATCCCGTTACTGCCCTTCTCCTCAGAATTCCTGCCCCTCACCTCTTTTTTTTTGGTTGTTGCACTTGAAAGAAACTAAGATGTTCCTCTTTTTTTAACAGCAGCGGTTACATCTGCAGAGGTTTCTTTGACTCAATCCCTTCGGTTCCTCTGGTGGTTGGCTAAAAAGTCACCCGTTCCCTGTTTCATTGCACGAGGAGGGTTCACCAAAAGGAGCTAAACAAAAACAAGGAGAAAAGGTAATGAGAAGTCAGACCAAATCACATCAGACTTCACAACTTTTTGCTTGCTGTGTCCCGCCTTAACTCCCTGCCTGTTACTCGAACAGCAGCTGAGTCACTAAATATAACTTCCTATTCCTGCTGTATCCACCCCCATCCAATGCCTTATCTGTGTTAGCAATATCAGCAGCTCACTGACGGCCATCGTCCAGATTTGGTTGTTTTTCTAAATTCTTCAGGTAAAACAGCGGAGCTGAGCTGGCTGCTGCTGGGTTCGCTTTCCGTGAAAACAGGAAAGGCTGGACTTCGCTAATGCGAGCTAATCCAGCCCCAGGACGCTGTTCTGTCGTGAGTAGAGCGACGCCAATCTCCACTCCAACAAACGCACATTTAAATGTTCGTAATGTGGCGGCAGAATCAATGCCTTCAACAATAAAACTACTCACCCCGGAAAGTCTTGGACCGATCGGCTTTGATTCGGCTCACATCAAGCCCCCAAATGTATACGTGATTCAATAAAGAAAAATAAACCTAAATTTAAAGTAACGGACTGGCTCCTTTAACTAGACTTCAACAACCATGTAAAGGCACAGCAAATTATTGAATAAAAGTATAAATTACGTGCAACCTTGTGTGTCTATACATGCCGAATTGAAGTATAATACATAACGTTGGAGCAAAGAAGTCCCAAATCTGTGTGACTCAGGTTTAAAACGCTTGGGCGTAGAAAACTGATGTTTTCGCTTAGATTTTTGAAGCAGTTTGGCAGATAATTCCATCAAACATTAGAAGAGATGGCTATTGGTCTGTGGATGGCCTCAGGTCACTGATTCAGCTTTAAAAATCTTTAACGGCCGTTACTGGCAGTTTCTGACCCGCTGCTGGGACAGCACGTTCGAAAGTCTCTTATTGCGCGAGCGTTTGTAGCTTTTGGTGGAACGACACGCCTGACTCCACGCGAAATATATTCATTTTTCGTTAAATGAAATCAAACTATGCCAATCCAAGACTTAGAGTCACTTGTGAAAACATTGTAAAAATGAATCAGGGACGTGCTTCAATACGGCACAAATAAAATAACACAGTGCTGGCGTTAAACTGTAGTTTTGTTCAGAGCTCGATGGTTTTAACGGCCAAACCACCGACCTGTTAAGGCACAAACGGGACAAAACTGGTGAATAAATAAATATTAACGTTAATTTAACGGGTGTAAATAAAGAAGAAAGCAATGACCGCTCGTTATAAGGCTAAATGTGTATTTGGTACTGGGTGTACCGCTGCAGACTAGCAAGAAAACGTTTAAACTTCCAGATTTGTTCATCCAGCCTGGAGTGACGGTGTCCGGGCCCGACGCTGGCCTGCCAAGACGTCGGGAAACTTCAGTGCTCGGAGAAACTTTCAACCCGCCGCCGTTTATTTAAAAAACGAACTTACTGTGGTCATGATGCGGTGCTTGGCCGGTGGGTCATGCTCACAGACCGGTGCTACACTCTGACTTGTGCCCGTTGATTCCGCTGGCTCGCCGCTCCGACGGTCGGACCGTCTCCCTGCCGACCACACCTGACTGACTGCAGCTGATGACCCACTCTCATCATCTGACGCTGCGTTCACGGTCATGTGGGAAAACCCTGCACCCTTCAACCGCAAAGTGCACACCGACACAGAGTACTACAGCTGCTCTTTCTTTCGTTTTATAATATCTAATCAAATCATCTTTACCCATGTACTGAAACATATGATAAGGAAACAAGCCAGGGGCGTCCAGCATACGACCGGGGGAAACAGATCTGCCCCACAAAAGGGTCCAATCTGGCCCTCGTGGACTATTTTTTCAGATTCTCAATTTAAAATTTCCACATTGTCTATTTTATTTCATGCATTTAATGTACATAATTCACTTACTTGCTGCATATAATGTCCTCCTGTATATATTCACTTAATGTACATAATGTTCTCTCTCTTTCTGCACAGCCAAGGAGCATGTCAGGATACATTTCACTGCGTGCTGTACTCGTATAACTATGGATGTGACAAAGAAAGATTCTTGAACCTTGGAGGGTTTTACAAAATATTACAATTAAAAAAAATCTTCACTTGGAAAGAATCATGAGAGTTTGAATCATCATAGGTTTTACAGCCTTCTTACTGACAAATACTTACTGTTTCCCCCATTACAAATGAACCATTGAATGAATTGTTTATTTTCTACAGTGGGAGCATAGTTACAAGAATAATAACAATAATTTCACAGTAATAACTTAATAACATAGATTTATTTGTTAAAGTTAAAACATGGGTAGTGATGCTGATTTATCTTTGAAAGGGTAAAATTAAGAAAAATTAAAGAGAGAGACAGAGAGAAGTAAATGAATAATAAAATCAATGCAGAAAGACAAATAACGTACAATCAAAGGTGAAAAACAGATGCAAAATGGTCACTATGACACTTTAAAATGACCCCAAAGCAACTAAAAGAATTACAAAAATTACTGAAAGGAGGAGTCTGGAAAGAGGCTCAAACCCATCAGACAAAAAGGTCAAATGAAAAGGACGTAGGGTGAGTACAAAGTACATAATAAAACTACAAAGACACAAAAATGCAAAAAGCAAGTCCACTGGAATGACATGCTGTTAATGAGCTTTCCCTCTGTGATCAGTAAAGAGTGAATGCTAAAGAAATGTAACCAAAACTAAAATTCACAGTTTGAACTTTAACCAAAATATTTGAAACACGGAGCTCAGAATCAGAACTTGTCTGTGTCGTGTGTGAAGTCAAAGTAGTGAGAAACACACACTGAACGATGGCGTGTCACCAGTTTTAGTATTACAACAGCAGCTTCCGCTTATGTCCGGTCACACCAAGATTTCCGCTGGCAGGTCACTTTTTTACCAACAAAAAAGTATTTCACAAGAAATTCTACGGACATTTAAAAAGCTGCTTAAGAAACGAAGCCAAAGGAAAAATGTCACAAACGACTGCAGGAAATAAATCAGCCGGGTGACCCACATACATGTGACCCTATATCTGTAAATGATTTGTAACAGTATCCTGTTGCAAAACTCTTTATTTTGAAATTCAGAGCTCCAAGCTTTTATTTTGTAACGTTACACTTGTTACTCACTTAATACTTTGTGTTAAACGTTTTTTTTTTCCACACTTGTAATTTTCAGTAACTTGCAGATTCAGCTGAGCTCATGTTTTGGAGCCAGAGGCTGGTCTGCTGTCACCATGTGAGAAACGTAAAAATGTGTGAACACGTCGTGTTGCATTTGGTGCTTTATTGCTCCTCTGGTGAATCATCTGCGCACAGCGGGCAGAAAGCGGCCTTGATTGTCGTTTTTAAAATTACTGCATTCATAAAATGAGTCACTGGTTTTTCCAGGAAAACCTGGGCTAATTATACAACCTACCTGCTCAAAGACACTTACAGTTACCATCATTATTAAACTGTGGTGTAGCGGTTCTCAAACGCTGGGGCGTGGGCAACAAGAAGGAAACATGAAGTGAAACTCAACTGAATGAACAGGACTTTTTTTTTCAGGAAAACAGATTGTTAGGCAACAACTGCTCAGCTCCTGTTTTTGTTCATGATAAATTTATAAAAAGACTTTTGTGGCTTTTTATAGAACAATTGTGGTGAAAACTGAGCAATTATGACCGTATGTTTACACCATAAAACGTGCACTGCATCATTTTTTTAAATTAAATCTGTTACTACAGTACAAATACTTTTACATTGAAAGACTTAGATTTAGTGTTAGGAAATTAAAAACTAGGATTAATGTATGAAAATTGCTTGTTACATTTTCTGAATAAGAGGACAAAAACTGAAATTGTTCAGTCAAAAGAAGCAAACTGAAGTAATTCTCTGCACTACAACAAAACCTTGATTACTGCTACTTAAAGGTGCATTTCCTCTTTGACACTCGGCGTTAACAGAACGTGACTGCTAGGAAGTTTCAAAACATCTTTTTACTGTTAAGAAATGCAAGTTGAAATAATGCTCAGTTGTACTTCTCATACGCAGTGAGTCGATGTGACCGTTATTGGACCGAGTGAGCTGTTAAACATTCGTATTTCCAGCAGAAGCCTGTTGAGAAAATGGTGTTAAAAGTTAAAAGAACAGCAACACACCCGCTGCTCAAACCTGGTTAAAGTTGAAGTCACAAATTGCAGAAAAACAA